TGCTTCGAGCTCAGTGAACCTTGTGTGTTGTAATCCTAGGAAGTGTTACCAGCTCAGCTGAGAGATGAGAAAACTAACACAGTCAGCTGATAAGACTTGGCCAGGTTCACAAAGCTGATGAACAATGAAGTCAGAGGTTGAGCTAGCTGAGACAACATCCATGACTCCTCCAACCCACCTCAGGGCTCTAGAGGGAGAGATTCCTGGAACTGAATTCAGCTATTAAATTAACCCATGTTACAGAGGTTTAAATAGTACTGCAAAGGGCCCTTGTGTTAAAGGTGTGGTCTCCAAGATGCTGGTATTGAGAAATGATATGGACTTTAAGAGTTGGAAAGTGCTTAGGTCACTGGGGGTCAATCTTCAAGGGGGATTGATAGACCTCAGTCTCTCACTCTCTCTTCATTTCCTGGCTCCTAATGTAAGCAGTTTGCTTCCTCAGTGTCCTCCATGCCAGTCCACACAGCACCCTCATTAGAGAGGGGAAAAAATGGAGCCACTCATCTTGGACCAGAAAGCGATTGATTTTGGACCAGACGTGCTAATGAACATTTTTCTACTTCATAAGTAGCCTGCCTTTTGTATTTTGTATTTTGTTACAGTAACAGATAGCTGATTAATACAGACATGACAGGCAAGATTTTTAATCTATTCTCTTAGTCCTCTTTCATTATATGAAAAATATAGATAATACTACTCTCAAACAATTATTAAAAATATAATAAATAATAGACTCAGCATTCACCAAGTATTCATTTCCTCATTGTGGGGAACAGGTCTGGAATCCCTTGATCACCACAGCGAAGAAAGCCTTCTGACGCACGAATGCCCCAGCTCACATTTGGGGTCCCCGATATTACAACGTTTTTGGTGACTATTTCAGGTTCTACTTCTTGATACATCCCTAAGGTCCTGGCCAGCCCTCTTGGTTTTACCACACCCCTTCCATGGGTCTGCTGTTCTATGCTCACCAATCTCTCTGGCTAAACCTGGCAGCTGTTTAGGCTAGGTGTTGGAGGCAATCCTTCAGTGGCAGGGGCAAAGCCTTCCCCCGAGGATGGCTTGGCTGCCTCAGAATGAACACTCTGCTTTGCACTTTATACCGTGGCCAAATTAGCAAGTGGTTTCTAGGACAAGGATGTAGCTCAGTGATAAAGAGCTTGCCAGGCATATAGGAGGCCCTAGGTTCAAAACTTCGGCATTGCAAAAGAATGACAAAAATAATGATAAAAACCTGGTATGAAAGGACACTTCCCTTACCCCTGAGCTAAGCACTTCCTTACCCACAACAGTTCAGCTTCATCACCTGATAACAAACCAGTCCAAGACGAATGACTCCACATGACAGTAACTATGGCATCGTCTCACGGGTTTGGTGAGTCAGGATTCTGAGAGATGTAAGAAGGACATCTTTTCCCTACTTCACTGTGCCTGGGACCTTGGCTGGAGAACTGGACGGTGGCAGACTGGCTCATCTGAAGCTTACTTGCTTCACTCACAGAGCCAACATGTACTAGAGGCAAGCTGGAGTGTATTAACACGGTTCTCTTCACAGGGCTTTTAGTGCTGTCCTGCCAAACCACCATAGGTCAGGTGATTTAAACAGAAGCTTACTTTCTTGAGATTCTGGAAACGTGAAAGTGCAAGAGCAAGGTGTGCACAGGATGGCTGCTTCTGAGGACTCTCCGCTAATCTTTAAAGGGCCACCCCATCTGCACTCATCTGTCTCTTTGCATGGATCTCCCTCTCCTCGGGTACCTATGTCCCAACTTCCTCTTCTATGAGAACACCAGTCACACTGGGTTGGGGAAAACTCCATGAATACCTTTAGTTTAACTGTCTCTTTTAAAAAAAATCTCACCTCCACATAGTTACATTGTGAGATCCTGAGGGTTAGGACACCCTGTGAACCAGTTTAACCTATAACATCCTCATGGCGAGTTTTCCCAAATGTCTCTCAATAATCTGAGAGACAAGGATTTATGTCATGATGAGAAGAAGCACGCATTCCTGCCATCTAGCCTGTCGGTTATACAGACCCTCCCTGTTTAGTGCAGGAGGGTGTCAGTGAACACATGTGCAAAATGCCAGCTTCTACCACACTTAACCATAGCACAGAACAGCCATCTTGAGGAACAGACCTCAGAGACCCAAAGCCACTGTGCTGCAAGGGCTCCAGGCATAGCAATTAGGTGGGGCAGCTCTCAGGAAATGGGTGGAGATGAAGCTTATCTCCCAGTTAGCCTTTCACTAGGAACATTCTGTTCTTTTAACGGAAAGCTGCTAACCTTCCAGCTGTGAAGAGACTCTGCTTCTGGTCCCTTGATTGCTCTTCTGCCATGTTGTGGGTGTGCAATTCAGTAGTAGCACCCAGACTTGGGACAGTATATACAAAGCCTGTGAACACAGATGGATATGGCATTCTCTCTGTGCAAGGAACTGGTAATGTGTGGCACATGGAATAGAACAGTGCACCAACAATAGACCCATGTCAACTGTGACTATTCAGTCACAGATCCCATTGGACTCTAGTCACAGTGGAGGAAAGAAAGGTTCCAGTCGCTTGGTCTGAGTAGATGTTATTCCTTGTCCCTGATCTGATCATTCTATAGGAAAACAGAATCATGGTCATCCCAGTGTCAGGTGCTATTGTTCTTAGAATCTTAGAATAATCTCTGGGTTATCTATAGTTCATTTCCTGACTTTCTGAGACATGGAATAAGCTTAAGGCCATAGGTCAGTTGAAATCCCAGATTTGGAGACTCCTGCCCTTCTCTGCATTGATGTGCCACTCCTAATGGACCTGGCTCTAGAGCCATAAACCACAGCTCCTGGGCCTGTCTTGGAGAATTCCACAGGGTTGCCAGCCTTCTTCTCTTCCCTTCTCCCTCCTCCTGTATTGCCAGGGTTTCACACTATAAGAGTGAGTCATTGGCTATTACAAATAAAGCTGCTACAAACATGGTTGAGCAAATGTCCTTATTGTGTACTTGAGCCTCTTTTGGATATATGCCTAGGAGTGGTATGGCTGGATCTTGAGGAAGCACTATTCCTAGTTGTCTGACAAAGTGCTAGATTGATTTCAAGAGTGGTTGACCTAGAACCCCTGCACAGATGTAGCCCATGGCAGTTCAGTGTCCAAGTGGGTTCTATAGTAATGGGAACAGGGACTGTCTCTGACAGGAACTGATTGGCCTGCTCTTTGATCACCAACCCCTGAGGGAGGGAGCAGCCTTACCAGGTCACAGAGGAAGACAATGCAGCCACTCCTGATGAGATCTAATAGACTAGAATCAGAAGGAAGGAAAAGAAGACCTCCTCTATCAATGGACTTGGGGAGAGGCATGGGTGGAGAAGGGGGAGGAAGAAAGGGATTGGGAGGGGAGGAGAGAGGGAGCTACAGGAGAGATACAAAGTGAATAAAGTATAATTAATAATAAAAAAAAGAGTGAGTCATTGTTCTCCTCTTCGCCAAGCCTGTGTGCCTTACCTTCCTCCTAAACTAGTATTTTCTGGCCCAAGTCTAAGGACCCTGGAAGAGAAAAGCCTACTGTGTCAGGCCTTCCTTTCTTCAGAAATGGTGGGACTGATTTAACGTTCCTGTGCTCCTTCCTACTAGAGAAAGGGGGATGCCTGCAGCCCCAGCTGGCCACATTCCCCATTTACCTCATCCATCATCCCGACAGGTGGGCCCTAGAGAGAAGCCACAAGCCGGACAAGGATAATTAGGATCCATTAAGGAGATGAGGCTGAGCTGCAGGCAGGGGACTATTCATTCAACAGTGCCTTCTTCTAAATGGGGCCATCAGGCATGTGGGACTGGCTCCCCCAGTTCCTGGGGAGGCCAAGTCAGCTGAGTAAATGAGCACTTTGAGGACATAGAGGTCCAGAGCTGAAGTAGGGCCCCTGTAAGCCTGCTTTCAGGCACAGAAGGCAGGGGGCTCCTGTAAGAAGCAGGACCTCCCAGCAGGATCCCAGGCAGACACTTGTTCTTGACTGGAGGCCAAAGCATCTGACTCCAAACTCTGCAATCAGCTGCTTTCAGCAGCTTCCCCACAGGGCCATGCCCAGGGTCAACTTTGCCATCTCCCAGAAGGCACCACACTGGTGCCTGCATGCTTCTCCTGGTGCTGTCTCCAAAAGGCCTCTGTCAGAAAGCATTCTTCAAGAGGAGTTACAAATCAACCTCTTAGCAGCTCATTAAGCCTTTACTTCTGATTAACCTGCCACACAGGCCAGCTTCCCTTTGAGAATGGGAAAAATCACAGGACTTTAATCAGATTGGGAAAACTGGAAGTATGGTGGATGGTGATGTAATGATGGGTGGGCAAAGGGGTGAGGTCCCAAAAACACTGGCTACAGGGAACCAAAGTCAGTGCCCACCTTTCTCCTAAACCCAGTCTGACTCAGCCACAGGAAGGCAGGGAAAAACTATTCCAAGCTATTCCAGGATATTGGGCAGTCTCTCTCTCTCTCTCTTTCTGTCTGTCTCTCTCCTCTCTCTCTCTCTCTCTCTCTCTCTTTCTCTCTCTCTCTCTCTCTCTCTCTCACACACACACACACACACACGTTTTGTGTCCAAAGCCGTTAGTGAGGCTTCCAATCCCCAGAAATATACAGAAGCTTTGCAATGTACCCACTGTCTAATCTGTCAGCCTGTTCATCTGATGCAGTAAAGAAAGACAAGAGAGCCACAATCCAGATACAAGCAGGTGGACACTCAAGATGGCAACAGAGACCCTTGAATTCAGGAGCTGCATTCTGCCATGTTCAACTGTTCCATACTCACAGTGACGGCGTAACTGTTACTCCCAACTTACTAAAGCTAAGAAACCGTGTGTCCCTAGGTGGGAAGGCCAAGGTTGCCAAGCTTCTACATAGCAGAGTCTGGATGAAATGAGCTCATTTGAAAATGTTTCCAGGAACGCACATGGTGTGCACACGCATACGAAGGCACTAATGCATGCGCATTAAATTAAGTTAAAAGAACTACTTTTTTCTGCCCTTGACCATGGACAAAGAGATGCCTAGTTGGTGGTATTGTTCCTGTGTCAGTCAGGGGCAGAGCAGATGGCAGTCCTTTGTTCCTCCTAGCTTGACACCTGGCTTGGTGGCCAAAGCTTATGCCTAGGACACGTAAAAATCAAAACAAATCAGGTCAGATCAAATTAAGTACAGGCAGCACGGCTCGGAAGGAGGAAAACGGAGACCTGTGTTCCACCCTGCCAGACAATGCCAATGGGGAAGATGCCCATAAACCTGCCCTCTGCCCCACAGTGTAGACAAGCTAAAGACACGCAGAACACTGTAGCACAGCATGGAAGATTGATAGACTTGCGGATGGCCATGCCACCCACAGACCTGCCTTCCAGCCCATGGCACAGGTGGGCCATAGCCACCCAATTGCTGGAGGATGTCACCCAGGGTCCTGCCAGCCATGGGGCCAGCCTGCAGCAGGAGACACCATCAAGTGGTGGACAGATGGGAGAGAAAGAGAATTGGAGCAGCTTGAGCATTATGAAGAGAAATGGAACTGAAAACTGAAGAGTGGAGGGGAGCACCCTGTTGTGAGTGGCCAGACTCACCACCTGGGGCTATGGTGAGGTCCCAGCCCAAGCTGCCACTGAGGGCCATGTCTGTCTGTGGCTACACAGCAGCATGGGTCAGTGTCTGTGGTTCAATTACCATTAGGGAACACGCAGACTTTCCTGGTTGGGGTAGCTGCCAGGGACCAAATGAATGTCCAGGGGCTGTGGAGAGAAGGCCCTGCCCTCACTGGCGGCTGCACTCTGCAGAACAGGCTCTCCCTGTCACTTGCAACAGCACTAGAACACAGACCTAGTGACTTTCCCATGTAGCACAGTGGAGCTGGCACTGGTGGCAGGGGTGTGGATGAGCTGGCTTCAAGGGTGTGAGTGTGGGAGAGCTGACTCAGCCAGTCATCTGCCATGGGGTGGCACAGGCACAGAGGTGATGGTCTCCGCCCTCCTTCACCACCTCTGGCAGTTGGGAAAGCTGCCCAGAGAGTTATGAGCAAGGGAGAGTTAACCCTACCCTTCAAAAGCTGCAGAACTCCAGAGGAAGATGATGCAGCCAGCCTGGACGAGACCTGAAAAGCTAGGGTCAGATAGAAGGGGAGGAGGACCTCCCCATCAGGGACTTGCGGGGGAACAAGGGAAAAAGATGGGTGGTACTGGGAGGAGACAAGGGAGGGGGCTGCAGCTGGGATATAAAGTGAATAAATTATAATACATAAATATATTAATAATTTTTTAAAGATACAAAAAAAAAAAAAAAAGAAAAGAAAGCTGCAGAACTCAGAAGAGCAGGCCCTGCACCTCACCTGGGCAGCACAGCAGAGCTGACACTAGTGGTGGGGACACCGGTGAGGCCAGGAGCAAGAGCACTGGAGATCTGACCCCACCATTCATCTGCCATGAAGTGGATGCAGAGGCAGTTGAGAGAGCTGACCCTGGGATCATGGGAGTGAGTGAGCTCACCGCATTCAGGAGAGCAGGCCCTTCACTTCACCTAGGTAGCACAGTAGAGATGGCCCTGGTGAAGGGGGTACAGGTGAGCCAGCCCCGAGGGAGAGAGCACAGGAGAGCTGGCCTTGGCACCTGTCCCTGTCCCTCACTAGCTGTAGTACTCACAAGAGCGGGCCCTGCACATAGCCTCAGCAACACAGTGGAGCTGGTCCTGAGGGTGAAGGGTAAGCAGTCCCGAGAACATTATCCTGGGAGAGCTGTCACAGCCCCTTGCAGTGGGCTCTGTACCTTGACTGGGCAGCACAGTGGAGCTGGCTCTGGAGGCCAGAGTGTGGGTGAGCTGGCCCCAAGAGTCTGGGAGTCGGAGAGCTGATCCTGCCTCCTGCTGACATTGGGTGGCCTAGCCAGAGCAGTGCTGGAGAACTTATCCTGGTGGTTCTGACAAGGGAGAGCCGGCTCAGCTATTACCCAGGCTCAGATCCAGGATTTGAGTTGGCCCACCCCCCAAATCCATATCATTGGCAAATGGTTGGGGCTAGCGAAAGAGCTAGTTCTGCTGATCCAAAGCTGCAGGATCTCTGTGACACAGGGCAACAACAGGATAACTGGGAAGAGGCAGGATGAGGATCCAATATTGATAGTGTCACAGAACCCAGAGATCTCAAATCAGGCCAACAACTCGTTTCAATGAACACCTGCAAGTAAAGTTGTGTGGACAGAGGGATATACTGTAGGACACAATGTGACATATTATAGCTTCCAAGATGAGATGTTTTCTGTGCTGGTGTGTGTGTGTGTGTGTTTTATTTGGGGGAAGGAAGGTTGCAAGTCTAAAGGTCAGATATGAGGGGAATAAGGAGATGAATGGGACTTGGGTGTATGATGTGAAACTCACAAAGAATCAATAAAAAGGTTTTTTTTTAAAGAACTATTTTTTTACAAATTTAAAATTATGTGTCTGTGTGTCTGTGTGACTGTGTGACTGTGTGTATGCCTGTGTGTCTCTGTGTATGTTTACACTGTGAGTGGGTAACCTGGGGAGTCAGTTCTCCCCTTCCATTATATGGGTCCTGGGTAACAAACTCAAGTTGTCAAGTTTGGCAGAATGCTCGCACAGTCACACACTAAGACATCTCATAGGCCCCAAATAGGATCTTACACTGTACCCTGAGGAGGCCCCTGGAAAAGGCTTCTTTTTTCTCCTAGGGCCAGGAGAAAGAGAGCTGAAATGTCCACTGGATAGGTGCATTTGTCAGGCTGGGCCCCCTGCCGCGATGGGTGAGGCCAATTGCTAATTTCATCAGGGTGTGGGAAAGAAAGAGAAGTACACACAGATAATTGTACTGACTCTTGGTGTTAAGTGTAAAGAGTACTAATAATCCAGACAGGCAGAAACTGCTGCGTCTACCACAGAGCTCCCCGGGCAGACCGGTGGTGAGCGGCCACACACATTTGCATAACAGCTTTTTTGTTGTTCCCTTTGTTCTTTTTGTTACTTCAACTAATTGCTTTTAAGCACTCTGTTATTTCCTCATCCTCTGAAAAGAACCAGCCCCTCATCCACCAAACTGACTGCTACTTGCTACATTTATAAATATGGGGAGATAGGACAGGGACAAAGCTCTTTTGAGTCAGGCCCAGTGGTGGGAACTCTTCTCTGGACTGGCTTCACAGACCTGTACAGTGGAACCCTGTGGCAAGAAAGGCTCTGTTGTCACTGTCCATCGAGTCTCAATAATTTGTAATGGGCCCTCACAACAACATAAAACACTTCGCCCTGCATTTTATGCATGCTTCTACTAGTCAGGTCTGATTGGATATTGCCCACACACAGTGACAAAGAGATACCATGTGATAAAGGCTCCCAAGAGTCAATGATCATGCCTGTCCTGGTGTTTGTAGAAGCACCCTTAGCACGCTTGGTGCCCGTGCCCCCTCGAAGCGACAGTCCCGTTACTCAGGACCCAGCCTGCCTCTGTGCCTCTTGAATTTAGCTGATCTTTCGTGAAGATCCTTCTCTTTCATAAAGAAACAGAACCAAGAGATGCATGAAGACTTCTGTCTGGGTGGGGCTCTCCATTGGCAGACTCACTTATAGCATGGTTGGATTCAAAAGAGTTGTCTTTGTTCCTAAGGACACTAATTGGTCTATTAAAAGACTCAGAGCTGTCCTCCCCTGTTCTCTGCCCACTTCTCCATTTCTCAAGGTGAACATCACTAATTTAGTCCTAAAACAAGAGACACCCTACTTCTGCAGACTGCAATGGGCATTGGAGTAAACATGAGAAAATCCACCTTTATGGCTCATATCCCAAATGTGGCCCAGATATCACACATACCCATACCCATGTGCAAATGAATGATCCTCACATTCTGCCTTAGTTAGCTCACTTGTAATATCTGCTCTCCTTTTCTGACAGCCTGTGTTCAGCAGGCTTAATCTCCAGAATTCATATTTTTTAAAAAATCTCTGTTCTGGACTCAAGCCCTCCTGCGATTCTTTGTTTTTCAATTGTCATGAAGATAGTTTGTTTACAAGCTTGTAAGTAAGACCTACACTCTGTTTGCCTCTGTCTCTTAATCCCTACCCTTGACAGAGCAGGGGCCATTTGTTGCCCATACAGATCTACCTCTTGTTCCCTCTTGTTGTCTTAATATTTATTCTTTGATGAGACCATAAACTGGGGAAAGCGACCTTCTGTTCATCTCTTTCCCTGGCTCTTAATAGGCCTATAGTGATCTCATTCTCATTATTGGTTCAAGAAGGCTCATGTGACATATACATATGCATAAATATATATATATATATGTGTATATATATATATAGTATATACATGTATATGTAGTTATATAAGATATATATAGTACATATATATAGTGGCTTCAAAAAATTTTCATCTGATAGAGACTGGCAGGAGGAGACAGTCCCTTTTCTTCAGCTGAGAGGGGTCATGTCAAGAACAACAGGTTAGTAATGACAGTGCATGAGTTAATAGCAGTGGAAGGAAGGAATCCTTTAACGGCACAGACAGGCAGATATTCGCCGACCTGAAATCAGCCTACCTACTTCTACCGGGATTCTTGCTTTATAATTACTAAAAACCAATCATTTAATGAACAGTTATTTGGTTTCCTATTTCCTTTTTTGCTGAAAATATCCTAAGCAGTAAGCAGGGATTTTTCTACATTCAGTATGTCTTGTGGATCCTCTCCCTTAAATTCTGGGCACAGGCAGGCAGACTCTGTCCTTGAAACTGAGCTAACTGTCCTTCTATAGGGAAGGTGAGTACTTACTCAAAGTGAACACTGGACTCCCACTGTTTCTGAGGTCCAGTTTCTAACTGAGATTCTGTTCCTGACTGACTGTGGCAGGATGGGGTATGGGAAAGTGAGGCATTTTAGCCTTGACTTTGGTTGCCTCATAAATCAAAGAACTCAATCTAGATCACCTACTTGGAACCAAACCTGTGTGAAACTGGGGCATAAGAAAAATTAATCTTAGGGCACCAAGATCTTTATTTGTAAACATGCTCAACTCACTAATGGAAACGTATCCCAGATTATTGCACCTGCTTTCCAATGTAACTAGTTATCTTCTTCTTTTTCTTCTTCCCTCCTCCTCTTCTTCCTATTCCTCCTTCTTCTTGTGTTC